TCACATGCAAGCAAGATTCTACTGAAGATTATCCAAAAACGACTGGAACAGCATATCAGCAGAGAACTGCCAGAAGTCCAGGCTGGGTTTAGAAGGGGTCATGGTACCAGGGATATTGTAGTTAATGTTAAATGGATCTTGCAGGGAGTACCAGAGGAATGTCTATTTGTGTTTCATTGATTATGCAAAGGTGTTTGACTGTGTGGACCATAACAAACTGTGGCTGACTCTGAGAAGAATGGGAATCCCAGAACACTTGATCGTGTTAATGAGAAACCTATACTTGGACCAAGAGGCAGTCATCAGAATAGATCAAGGAAACCCTGCATGGTTCAAAATTGGGAAGGGCGTTCTCCAGGGATGTGTCCTGTCTCCACACCTTTTCAACCTGTATGCAGAACAGATTATCTGGGAGGCTGGGCTCTATGAGGAGAAATGTGGCATCAGGACTGGTGGAAGATCTATCAACAATCTGCATTATGCGGATGACACAACCCTGCTTGCTGAAACTGAATAGAACCTGAAGCACTTGCTGCTGAGGGTCAGGGATGGCAGCCTTCAATATGGATTGAAGCTCAATGTCAAGAAGACAAAAATTCTCACCACTGGGCCAATTGGCAGCATCAGGATGAATGGTAAAGAGATTGAGATTGTTCAGAACTTTAGTCTGCTTGGCTCCACAGTCAACACTCTTGGCACCAGCAACCAGGAAATAAAAAAACGTATTGCGATGGGAAAGTCTGCTATTAGGGACCTCTCTAAAGTACTCAACAGCAACGGTGTCTCTTTGGAGACGAAGGTGTGCCTGATACAGGCCGTGGTCTTTGCAATCACTTGTTATGTGTCAGAGAGCTGGACAATGCCCAGGGAGGATAGAAGAATTGATGCTTTTGAGCTTTGGTGTTGGAGAAGATTGCTGAGGGTACCATGGACTGCTAAGAAAACAAACAGATCCATCCTTGAGAGGGCTAAACCAAGCTTCTCCTTGGAGATAAGGATTCTGAGGCCCCATCTAATACACTTTGGACATGTTGTGAGGAGAGACCAGTCCTTGGAGAAGGACATCATGCTTGGGAGGGTGGAGGGACAGAACAGGAGAGGAAGACCTCTATGAGGTGGACTGATTCAGTGACTGGGATAATTGGGATGGGAGTGTCGGAGACAGTGCGACAGAGCAGAGTTTAGAGCTGTTGTACATAGGGTCACTATGAGTCGCAAGCAACTTGACAGCACATAACAACAATAGCAACAACAACAATGATCAAATAGGGAGTTCTGATGGCCTAGTGGTAAGAAGCTGCGCTGGAATCCTGAAGGCATGCCATTCGAAGTCAGCAGCCGCTCTGTGGGAGAAGATTGGGCAATGTCCTTCCATGAAGTAAACTGCCCTAAAAATCCACCGGAGGATCAGCTATGGGTCAGTTCCGACTCTATAGTATACTTTTAGATACAACAAAAAAAATGATGAAATGAACATCCACATTATGAAACATATGAACATCACCTAAAAAGAAATAATTAGAACAGAATCTTGATTTTTCTTTGCCAAATTTTATGTCAACATGTTTACTTTACATTCACAATAGTTCTGCGTGCTAGATTCTATTTTTCTCTTTCAAGATCCTAGAATAAATTTTCTCATTCATTGCTGCTGAGTTGGAATCAGTTCATAGGTGACTATCCAGCAAGTTTTCAGAGACTAAAACTAATCTGGGGCTTTGTCTGACATACTTTGGACATGCTGTAAGGAGGGACAGGGACATCATGCTTGGGAGGGTGGAGGGACAGCGCAGGAGGGGAAGACCCTCTATGAGGTGGATTGATTCAGTGACTGGGATAATCGGGATGGGTGTCAGGGGCAGTGTGATTGGCACAGGATAGAGCAGGGTTTAGGGCTGTTGTACATAGGGTCGCTATGAGTCACAAACGACTCGACGGCACATAACAACAACAACATTAACTTATACTGGAGAACATTACTCATCTGTCCATGATTCTGTTGTGCCCAATGAATCAAGAGACAGACACAGCAGGATTACAGGTGAAATCCTTTATTAGCTGTGCAGCGAGGGTCCCAGCACCAAGGCAGGATCTGCTCCTTTGGCCTTGTCAGGAAATTTTTAATTTTTATACTTTTATCATTTTCATGGCTCCACATGGAGGGCTACTTGCTATAGCAGTCTGTCTTTGAAAAACTTCAGGGCACAGAGGTACATGGACAGCATTTTGCTATTGAAACATTTCAAGAGTACATGGAGTGCAAAACATCTATAGACCACAACAGTTACTATTTTAGGAAGCAGTTCAAGACAAAACTTTGAGGCTTGGGGTTTTTAGTTAGAAAATGGAGTCTGTTTGGCTTCTCATTTAGAACCCTCAAAGAGGTGCCACATTAAGGATGAGCTTATTTGTGATTGATCCTATGTAAGCTTTAGTTTCTCTTACCATTGAAATTAGCAGTAACATGAAATAACCTCAACGAGTACCTAGAATCAGTGATATCATTCTCTCCTGGTAGTTTGACGACTCATCATCTTGTAATGACTTTTTAGACAACTTCTGCCTTACAGTTTCCAAATATCTCCAGAGTTCTTGCCAAACCTAGTTAGAGGCCTCGCATATGACACAGGTGCTGTGTATAGAGCTCCTCAAACACCTTTAATAATATTGACTGCCCACCTTGTCAAGAAATGGTATTTATCCCCAAGAGAAATCACTGCAGTCCCTCTGAAGTTCTAGGCAGAATTCTCTTTCTGGAAACAACTCTCTAAATCTCTCAGGTTCAGCCGTTATAGACCAGAAATCCTCTGATTAACCCTCAAATCAATTTTGTGTGTGTTCATGTGTGTTCATGTGTGTGTTTTAAGTTTGATACATGGCTGTTGTGCAACGAATTACTTAAAGTGACTTTTCTAAATGGGGTCTTCATAGTTGCCACCAAAATGGTTCAATGAGACTGTGCAAAGGGGAAGTGCTTGTGACCCATCTAGAGGATTGGATTGCTTGATAATAATTTAAATACATGCACTGCACCTTTGTGGGGTGGGACTATGATGGACATATGGTGCAAAGAATTTTAACATGGGGATTGGTCAGTTTTGCCCTCCTGGTAGGCAGATTTCACTACTCTAAGTGAAGTACATTCTATCAATTCATGATTCCTGTTAAAGCTCTTCAATCAAAGAGACAGAGCTGTGACACTGAGGATGCCAAGAAATAGCAATGGGAAGCTAAGGTAGATGCATAATAGTAGAGACAACAGAACTAGGAGACAAAAAGCAAAAGTAAAAAAACAAAACAAAACAAAGCAATGAGATCTCCAACCTCAGGAACAAGAACTAGCATTATGCAGCTGAGGCGTTCTGGCAGAATAAAATGCTTCTGATCACATAATTAGCAGAGTTAAGAGATTGGTAATACTTGTTCACACAGAGCAAAGGCCAAGGTGCTCCTGTGTGGAAAAGCAGATACACCAGAGAGAGTAATTAATGCCTATGACAATGTTGAGAAAAGGTATGGTTGTTTTGGTAGAAGAACTGTAGCCTGAGTTGTTGCTGATCCTGAATCGTATTCTCTTGCTTCCTTAATTAACCCTGTAATCACAAGTTTTTGCCTCATTGTCCTCAGAGATAAGAGTTTTGTGAGAGGGACAGTGGGTTCAGATTTAGTGAGGGAAAAGAGATTGAAAGGTGAAGCCATTCCTGATCTCCACCTTATCCTTACCAGCTTTGGGCTGTTAATCTTAATTCTTCTCCCTTGTGAAGTTAGAGGAAGTCAGAAGATGCTATCTCGACTCATTCTTACAATGAAGTAGTATTAGATGCTCTTTAAGTATCTTTGTGATGTTTTGTAGCTCAATGATATAATCTTGTGGATGGTTTACTACACCTGGGTAGTGAACTCTTCATCTTATTTACTGTTTGAAACTCATCTCCTGTTTAAATCACCAGATAGGTATGTTTCCGTGGGTCATGCTTTACAAAACCTGTGTGTGTTTTTGAGTTAGCGTGCTTGCATATGCATGGGCGTGTGTGCTGTTTATGTGAGGGACTGTGTGTGAATATCTTGTGTCTTAGGAAGACTGAAAATTCTCCAAGAGAAACACTGTGTGGACCTATGCTCCTCTTCCTGGAATAGTTGAGGACTCTACATACAGTAGATATACAAAAAAAAAAAGGTAACTTTGCTTGAGATAATAAAGGTGGAGCTTTCATGTATGTGATTATATATAGTGAGGTTTCTTTTGTGGTTTTTATGTCTGTATGTGCTGGGAGTACATTTAAAAGAAAATGAGTAAGTGAAAACAAAATATGAGCTTCAAGGATGTAGGAATAATGATTTTTTGAATAAAGAGAAGATTGTTGGAAGGGTACTAAGGTCATAAGTAGTGAGTCAGACTTAATAAAGGGCAAGAGGACAGTCAAACTCTATGTGGGGCTCCCCAAAGTAAAAGCTATTGGTATCATTGTATAACATTCATGGATAACCCAGAAATTATCTCAAACCATAAGCTCAGTCCCCCCTGCTAAAATCAAATTACTTGTATACCAATTCTTCACTGTCTCTGTCTCTGACTAGTGATGGGAGTATTAAAAAAAATCAGATAAATTAGGCCAAAGACAAAGACTGAGTGGAATGAAAAGTGTTTTAATGAAAGCAGAAAAAGAAACATGAGTTGATTTCTATTCAGAATCCTTCTTCACATGAACTCCATTCATTTGAAGACCAGAAAAGCTACTCAGACCCTCGGATTAACTCACTGGCTCAGGGACACTCTAGAACATATGCAAGGGAACACTTTATAGCTCACATTTTTAGGATGTAAGTAAGAAAAAGGCTATTATTCAGGGTGACAACAGTTATGATATCGAAGCAGGTTGGAGAAGGTATGAAGAACTCGATGGTCAGCTCCTCAAGGGCATATCCAGAGGTCACATCACTTCTGATTGGTCTTCAGCTGGCCTGTGCCTGGGGTGATTGGTGTGGGTTGCTTAGAATACCCTGGTTCAGGAATCTTGGGCTGACTGGGCTGAGGCACCTTGGAATAACCTGGCTCAGGCACTTTGGAGTACCCTGGCTGAGGCACCTTGGAATAGCCTGGCTGAGGCACGTTGGAGTAGCCTGGCTCGGGCACCTTGGAGTAGCCTGGCTCGGG